TGTTAACATGTCTACTGGTGGAAAAGACTTTCACACAACCCTGGAGAATGCCAAAGCATATAAAATTTGAGTTATAGTTGACACTTTTGTGCCACATTATCATGAAAAATGTTTTCATACCACACGGTGTGGCTGATGAGTGTCATACTGCAAGTGCGTGGCACATTCCTTCCAGTTCCACCCTAGGAATACCATTTGGATGTTATTTGCTGCAATGGAATCCTAACATTGACCAAGCATCATTTTGGTCAATGTGACACTGTAAAACATCAGCGTGCATTTTACGAGGAGAAAATCTGTTAAATGCAGACCCCAGAAAGTCCGACGAGAGCCTGTTGCAAGTGGCTGATGCATAGAGCAGCTGTCAGCAATGCTGATGTGGAGGAACGACCACAACCACGGTGTCACTCGGCATGTGGAGCGAAGGAGATGAAGCGGACTGAGGGGAAAGGAAAATTGCTGCAGCTGCAAAGCCTTTAAAGAGCGAGTGAGGGGTTGTGGTTGGCAAGAATCAGCCATTGATTTCATATGATCGAACTCGGGTTACCTATTGAAACAGAAAATACTGAATATATATTTTTTAAAAGCTGGATGTGTCATAAAACAAATACTGAGCCATTTTATCGATCTGGAAGATGAAACAGTCATACCATTCATCGTCTTTCGGACATCTATCGATACTGATTTAAACCATTAAAAAAATAATAATAATCCATGCAGGGCCACAAACAAAAGAAAGGATTAAATTCGAAGTTAGCAGGCAATAGCAGCGAACACTAAATCATATGTGAACTGCTAAAACACTCAAAACACAACACTGAAATGATCAACAGAGAACAAAGTAGGTAAGACGGAAAGACAGAACGACAGCTGGATAGGCTGACATGGAGTGAGTTTTATTCCCATGAGGAAAATTAAGAATCAGGTGATCCCAGCACGCACAGCGGACAGGAAATGGTCTCTCCGCCACATTTAATTTAAAGCCGGAGGACAGCTTTCCACTTTCCGTGCTGTGTTCCAATGAAAATGAATGCAAAGCGAATTTGTTCGATGTGTGAAAAATCACTACAGGAATCAACTTCTATGACTTCCTTTGTGGCTGGAACATGACGTGTCTGGCTGGTCGGCTACAATTCGCCATGTTCCACCAAATATCTGCTATGATCGTGCTCACTCAAGACGACTCTTCCCCTGGATCTCATGTGATTTTGTCGGCGTACCTAATGTGGTGACCAGTCAGTGTATACATCCCAGTGGAAGTTTCCACTGCCCGTAGGCGGAAACATATCTCATGATTCACGTGGACAAGACAGCACCTGGATTCTGTTAATGCATTACACAGGCTCTGTAACCTATGATCTGTACAAGCAGCTTCCTGCGATGATGTAATGATGATTATGTTTACTACCGGTGCACTCACCGATTCGGTCTCTCACACACACCTTGGACTCGATAGACTCGATGTTTCAGTCATCACGAACCAATCCGAAGTGAGCTCACACATAAGAGGCCAAATGGAGCATGTCATTGTTGTTGGTGAGCTGGAAACCCCCTCCCCCTCCCCCCGCCCAAATATTAAAGAACATTTTTCTCATCTTGTTATCTGAAACAATGACTCATAATTCAACTCAAAACTTGTGAGGCCATCATGTAATTGAGTCCTAAATAGCTCTGTTTCTGGAAGTTCATTGTCACATATAACAATTTCTTCCACGAATGAGGGGCCCCATAAGACTAATGATATTACCAGAGAAGCCGTGTACTATTTTCTAGGGTCAAAAAGGTCCAAGATACATTCCCAAGCTTTTGTCGACAAGGTCAGGATTGCAGAATTCTTGGCATTCTCAAAGATGGGAACATCTCATGAGAACTGACAGGATATGATTGAACATATTCATAAATTCATTTTATTAAACAATTAATTGAATTGGCTAGACACTAGTACTCCTCACGCTCACCCAAAGGCAGTTGGAATAAGTTCCAGCTCACTTGCAAGTCACGACCCTACGGAGGAACGACCACCATAGAAATTAAATGTGTGGATAGTGTCCAACTTTCAATATTTTCAAACATCCCTCTGCTAAACATTCTTTTATTGCAGTTTACCAGTGTCAGATGTCCGGCATTCTCCACAAGGCTAAAAATCAGGCACTCAGTTGTCAGCGTGGCCTAGCTTTTAAAGCAGACAGGTAACAAGGCCAGATTTGAGACAGGTGTGACTTGTGACGGAACGCCCACTCTACAGCTGGAGACTGAGAAAAGGAAGCAAACAAGACAGGATCATGATAACCAGAAATTCTGAAAATGAACTCTTTGCAGTAAAGCAGTACTTTAAGGCTCCTACCAGAGTGAGGAGAACCCCCGAAAGAGAATTAGAAAATGAATAAACAGTATTAATACAGTTTATGTATGGATAGAAACAAAAGGTTTGCTGTCCCTTGGGGGCAATGCAATACAGTATAAATGGAGAAATCCAAGCTTTTCAGGAAGCCGCAGTCATATGAGTCGTTCTTCACTGAGGAGAAAGAATGTATGCCTGGAAGTATTGTTTTATTGTCTGTTTACATATGATGCTGGACTGTGTTCAAATATCCATTGCTGAAAGGGTTACAACACCGATGCTATTCATGAGCATGGAGTTTTCCATTCTGTGTTAGCATTCAGCTCGAGGACTGTAAAACAAAGTTACGTGGTTGTTTTAAATGTACAATTTGTAATTGTCATTGTTTGATGTTTAGTTTGACAGTTAACTCCATGCTAGGACACATAACTCATATCTTTTTGCTTGTCAACACCCCCCCCCCCCCAAAAAAAATCATCTGAGCGAAGACTCATGATGTAATTCCTCAAACTTTAATTCCTCACAGCCCTTCCCGCTCTTCCTTATGTCCTTGTTTCTTGAGACTCTGTTCCAGAGCGCCTCTTGTTACCTTGTGCATGACCGCACGTTCAACTCCTCTTATGTGGTGATGGGGGGGGTGGGGTCAGTGTGGATTGCACACACAGACACACTCATACTATGTACATCTGGCCTTAGCTAGATTTCACAACTGTCCTAGGAGCGTAAAAAGGACGTTTGTGTGTGTGTGTGTGTGTGTGTGTGTGTGTGCGGTTAGGGTAAGGAGAGAGGATGGGCTGAGCCTGCAGCGCCAATGAGAGAGAGAGCAAGAGAGAGAGAGAGAAAGAGAGAGAGAGAGAAAAGTCCTCCCACAGGAAACTACTACTTCACTCCACATGGCCTTTTAAGGTAAAAAAAAAAAAACCAAAAACCTCCCCAAAACTCTTTTCTCTCTAGTCTAAGGGAATGATCCGAAGATATACCGTAGTCACATTTCAATCTGTGGGGATAAAATGAGTACAGTAAGTAATACGAATCAAGAAAGCAAATGCTAAATTAAACCTGACGAGTGCAGTGGCTTTTACGCATGTGGTTAGAGTTATTTTCATAAGACTTTCCTATCAAGAAAGTTTATGGCTACCATGACGAGACCGTTGTGTCTTTGTAGATACAGAGATCCACTAGATCTGCTGACTCATTAACAAGGTTGTGGGAAGTAGACCCCATGCATTTCCTCTATGTGGGGGGGAAAAAAATACAACTGAAAATTCAGCAAACAAGCATGACAACACGGTGGTGACCTTGTGGCGAATAGAGCTGCCTCACAGTTAATTGAAGACTGTAAATTGTCCAGAGATCGTGTGGGAATGGTTGTTTGTCGATATGTACCCTGCGACTGGCTGGCGAGCAGTTGAGGGTGTAGTTGTGATAGACTTCAGCCCACCTAAAACCCAAATGAGGACAAGAACTGCAGAAAATGGCTAAATGGATGGCACGTGACGAAATTACATGTTGTTACATGTCATTTTTTTTTCATTTTATAAGAACAATTGCATGGACTGTATTGAGTCACACCTCTTAATCACTTATTTATTAAATGTGGCTAACATTATCAAGCTTTCTGACTTACGGGCATTTGTAAACTTCCTGCTTGATGGCAACAGTTTAGGAAAGTCACTTTTGCCCCCAATGCTCAAAATGAAAGATGCATGAAGGCACGCAAGGATGAGTTTGCTTTCGAAAAACTTTTGGGACACACAGATTAGAATGAACTATTTTTACTTTTTGTAGGTGGCCCAATACTAATGTCCATATTCTGCATGGATTTATATGCTGCTCTGGATGTTAATGGCCATTAAACATGAAGGGGTTGCCCTTTTCTTAATTCCCATGAAAGTTTAGTGAACAATGTGGGTGTGTGCTCTCACAAACATGACATTGTGAGGCCGTAAGAGTGTTAACTTCCCTTTAAATCACCTTCACCATCAGCAAATACTTTAAGTGTCTACTCACAATCATAGTAGAGTCATTCACCTTCGTCTCCCCCCACCCCTGTGCTGCCCGCAGAGTGCATCCAGGTTCCATCCGGAAACAGCTGCTGACTTCTCGAAGGGCCCTGTGTTGGAAGTGAAGCATGACTGTAAAACTGCACAGCAATTAGCCCAACAGCCTATAAAATGAGTTAAAATGTAAGCGTTGGATGGTAGTTTTAGTTCTAATCTAATAGGTGAAGCAAGCAAGTAAGCAACTGAGATAATATGGTTGCATAAGTGTGCACACCCTCTTACTCTATCACTGAGGATGTAAGAATTAACATTCAAACTCGTGTAGAATAGGAGTCAGCGCACACCTTCCACCATCTAAAAAGCCTGTGATTAACCCCAAATAATGTTCAATTCGTTTTGTAGGCTTTTCCTGACATTGTTTTTCTTTACACCAGAAGCCTAATGTTTTGTGCTATTGTTTGGCCCTGGTGGAGGTCTGAGCTTTAGTAGTAGTTAACGATACTGCCATTGAACCACATGTCATCTCTATTTTTACAATGTTCAAACTGGAAAGTGGCACTTGAGCAAAGTCATTATGCAGAGGTTATGTCAATGGTGCATTTAAAAGCGCTCACGCAGGAAGAATGTGTGATGTTATCTGCTCTGCTGATAGGCTGCCAGCATTGTGAACCGTTAAAAGGTGCCACCGCTGACAACATCATCATAGTCACTCAACCAACCAAAAGCAGCAGCGACTTTGAGTCAGGACTAAATCTGCTTCCTGAACTAGAAGTCAGTTGAGGACCTGGTCAGCCTTCCTCCGAACAAAAGTCTGCCCGCACTCTTTTTGCCCTGCGGTACCATGGATGTCACGGCACCCAGCCTGGTCCAAAATCCTCCCTTCAGAGATACTCATCTTCCAACATGAGAAGCTCTCACATTTCCAAAGCATTTCAGTTTCTTGAGTAGTTCTCGAAACACCAATAATCTTCGACCTCATAAGAATTAGAATGTACTTTTATGTGCACTATGTGGTACTCATGGTAGGTTGCAATTTGATCCTTTGTTAGACAGTGAACCATATTTGATAATCTAATTAGGTGTCAATTCAAACCTCACCATGACCCATGATGAAATCTTATTTTTTCAATATAGACAATGATCATTACTTTTTTTTAATCACCACCAAAATGTAATGAAACTGAAAATATATAATGTAAATAATATGACGTAATTCGTTCTTTAATTCTTAAAAGAAACATTTTTTTATGGTGCAGATACTATAATCCATTTATAAGACGCATATTTGTGCGGGTCAACACCCCGACAACAATAATAAAATATGAAATATACATTGAGTAATTTTGCACTGAAGTATTTATTTGTATTAATAAAATACATCATTTGTCAATTGTAATGAGTCATACACCGAATTTGAGCACTGGGGGAAAAAAGCACTCCACCAAATTATGTTGACAATCATAAAAATAGAAAAATACTTCATGCAACTACAGGTATGCAGTGTGTGTGTGTGTGTGTGTGTGTGTGTGTGTGTGTGTATTTATATATCTCATACTTACGTCTAGTGCAGGGGTGTCAAACTCATTTCACATGGTGGGCCACATACGGCCTCGGTAGATGTCAAGTGGGCCGGACCATTAAAATGATACAATACTTTGCTATAAATAACCAAAACAATATGTCTTTCCTTTGTTTTGGTATAAAGAAGCACAAGAACATTAGGAAAATGTTGAAATTTAATGAACATATCTTTTACAAAACATTTCAGGGAGCACCTTACATTTCCTTCGACAAATGTGCAATTTACTTTTATCATTCACATATATGCATTGCAACTGATCCCACTGATTGTACAAACTTTAACAAGTAATTGGTATTGAAAAATACAGTAATGCACTTTAAGATTAAACAAGATTCATAAAGAAAGCAAGTTTTAAAGCATTTACACGTGCATATAAAATCTAAATGTAATCCCTGCCTACACCTTACAAACTAAGGAGAGTGCTATTAAATGTGTAAATGTGAGAGTGCTATTGATAGCGTCTGCTGTCATGGGTCTGTCTCAGTGACAGACTGAGGCTGCTGTTGTCTTCTTCTCTGATCAATTAAACTCCTTTGCGGGCCGGATCCGGCCCGCGGGCCGTATGTTTGACACCCCTGGTCTAGTGCATGTTAAAGACAATTTCCCTTTGTTTCCTTTGCCTTGCCCACATTCTCTTCAACATATGGCTACATTTAGGGGTCATTTCTCATAAGCAGTATAAACAAGAGGCAAACTACAATATACGCCAATGCTTTCAACGATGCACAGTACAGTATTCTTTTATTATACCGTGTATCATCTTATGTGCTCAAATGCTTTGGTCCGTTTTGCTTTATCTATCCCTCGTTTGCAGTCACACCCATTTTTTTCCCGCCTGATTCCCTCAAAAAAAGTTTCCTTTTGTCGACTCAGCTTCACACTAGTCATCAAGAAACATGCCAATGGTGCCCTATTGTGGATAAAAACAGTATTACAACAGCCAGGCCATGACTGCGATCCACGCACATTTGTGTGATTGCAATTAGAAAGTCAAAATGGGGTATTTTTCTTTTATATTATTGGTCGTACAAACAATATATGTGGTCTACATTCCCCACAAGACCATGCCATTGCCGGAATATATTAGCACTGATCAATCATCCAATAAAATGATGCGTATACTATATACTCAAGAGGGCGTATCTGCATGGTATCCGGGGATTGTTATGATATGCTGTGATATGATATTTACTATGATATGATTATACATGCTTATTTATGAATCAGCAACGAGAACTGCAAAATTTCTAATCCATCCACTCTCTGTGCCGCATACATCTGGAGTCTCTTTACTGTTAAGATAAGTAGGTTCACTTTTCCAGATGAAACGTGGACCTTCAACAGTGTATGACATGATTCATATCAAACAGATCGAAATATTGCACAATTTCATCGTTTTGTAATTCTGATGATTACATCATACAGCTAATGCGAACCCAAAAATAAAATTACATTAGAAACGTAATACGTTTAATGACAAATGTAATGTGAGTAATGAACCTCTCTTCCTAAACTACTGAAAGTGTTGCATGTTGTAATTCAAGCGCAATAATGAAAAAAAGCAAACTGTTTCTTTTGTAGTTCAACTCGTTTGATTTAATGGCATGGCAAAATTCCATCAAGAGATTGACGTGGTGCCTTGGTTCTTTTCGTGTCAAGGTTGCTTTCAGTTGATATCAAATGAAGATTACGCTGATTGTTGTTTTTTCATAGGAAGAGGCTGTTCCTCCGTGGACTGATAGCATGTCATTGAATAACGAATGTGACCTTGTCCCAATGGTTGTTTGGGGGAGATGTTAAGATCACGGCCTTGAACCTAAGATGCTTTGGGTAGCTCGTAGTTGTATTTTAAAATTTAAGGCAGGAATAAAGGTTTTGCTTCTACTATAGTGACTGGTTGTCAGTCAATCTGAGGACACATACCGACAAATCACCATTTACATTCGCATCCTGTATGCTGCAATGTCATATTTTTTTCCGACAGGGGGCGGCATCGCACTATGTGAATTTGGAAGCCACGAGTTAAAACTGTCCTTTCATCGGAATCTATGACCGATTCATATTTGGGCTGGAGGGAAAACCACATTCATTAAAATCAAATAAAAAACAAACAAATAACAAGCAAGCATACACGAGCTAACCGTCAATAATTCGAGCTAACCTCTTTTTCGAATGCGTTTTTTGGTGTTAAAATGGAGTGTAGTACGTCTCCGCTCTACAAACACATCAGTTTGAATTTATGTCATTACTTAAAAATACAAAGCAATCATTGTTTAGGGTGGTCTCAGGCTGGATATTGTGCATGAAATGAAGGCCTCAGCCCTTTGGTGAACTGGGTCAGGTTTAGGAAGTTTTGAACCGAGTGCCCAGTCAACAAAAATGATGAGAAATGATCACTCCCATAGCCTATGAACTCTCTTGACAGTCAAAGGAAGCTGCGGATGTACTAATTATCCCTGTAATCCTTTGCCTAATACTTGTGTACAGTTTCATGAGATTGCAGCAGTGCTTGAACTGCCCAGATTTTGTCTGGTCCAGTTGTATCAATTTGAAAGGTTTGTAGTTTTTTTAAACAAACATACATAACAATTCACATACGCTTAATAAAGGAGCGTTATGGTTATGTGGCCATTCAAGGTGAATGTCCTGAAGTGACTTTTTCAGGCGACAACATAAAAGGGAATTAGGGGATACTGTACGTGCAGATTTTAGAGTCTTAGAGTTAGGTCTCCAGGCATGTATTTAGTTCAACATGTGTTTGTTATAGTGTGACTCATTGGACACTAACTTTAAAGGAGGACAGATTATGTTGCAAGAATCCATATGGGAATGTGTATGTTATTCCGGGGGAGTGTGTGTGTGTGTGTGTGTGTGTGTGTGGGTGATCTTCTCATGGCCAATCAGTGACCAATGGGTGGTTTCTTGTAGGAGGAGTTACTCAGTGAATGATTGATTGGGGGTAAATTGTAGGATTTTTGAGGGGGGGGCAACGGGGGTGTGGGTGGTCGGTTTAACATTGACATGTTGAATGTAGTACGCCTTTGTGTAGTTGTGTAATATCTCAGGCCAAGAAACTCTTCAGAACAGATTTTGGGTGCAGTGAACCGGGTCATCGATTTACATTGTAATACACTGTATGTAATTTGGCTTCATCCCGACACACAATACACTTGGGAGTGATTTTTATAATCCATCCATTCATCCATCCATTATCTTATCCGCGTATACTCACGAGGGTCGCAGGCATGCTGGACAGCAGGCGAGATACACCTTGAATTGGTTGCCAGCCAATTGAATAGCAAACATAAACAAACAACCATCCATGCTCATCTATTTGACTTCATTCACACATTCATTCACTGCACTCATTAATTCATAAGAACGGGCAAGGGGTGTCCAATCTATGGCAAGGGGCCATTGGTGGCCGACTTCTTTTTTGTCGCGGCCTGTGACATACTTAATTAACAATTGATGCTTTCTATGTTGGGTGCATGGCAAGGTAGGCAAAAAGAAGAAGATATTTGCTTTCTCACTTCCTTGTTTTCTACAAATAACTCATCATTCTGTACAACCTATCTTGGAACCAAGATCGTTTGCTCCATTTTCTGCTTTGTGTCAAGGTTACTTGAGAATAGATTCAAGATTGAATCTAATAGTCGACAAGTCAACTTTGCTGCCCTGCATCGACATTTAAAGCTTTAAGTTGACGACTCGCTAACCAAGTGTCTTGGGATTTCGTCTTCCAAATGGCTAGTTTACAGAGGACTTCCAACTCGTCGATCTGCTGCCATCGCCGGACTAAAATGCTCTATGCAGTCGAAAAATATTCGACCAACCAGGCGATGCAGTATTCATGCGTCTGCGTGAGTCAGAGAGTATATAAATATGTTGCCGGTGCATTAAAATAACGGCTAGCCTTGCTAACTTTGGCTTTTCCGATTGTCACTACTGTTAAAATACTTCTACCAATGTGACCGGAAACGAGGAACGACACAGCTGATAAAAGTAAATGTTGGACACCTCTGATTTAAAGCCCTTATGCCGAATAACACGACTGCAAAGCAATGAAGCCATTACTTAGCTATGTGCATTATCAGCTTGACGACATGTTATGAACAGACATACTGTACTTTGAGTATGGTATGACCTTGCTTTGAACTACCTTAGCGACGAGACTATTTTAGACAACTTTGCAGATGAATACCAGACAACGTTGTGCATGCATCCAACAATTATGTTATTTGTAAATGAAAGTATTGGAACAGTTTTTGGGAGAAAAAAAAGTGCTGCAACGGTTATGTTATTCCTAAACGAAACCACTGCAACAGTCATCAGGAAAACGAAAGTGAAGTATCGATTGAAAGCTACGTCCTGCTTAGAGTGTATAAGAGTTGTCTTGAGATATTGCTTTTGCGCATTTGTGCTCTGATCACAACCATTGTCTGGATCACACTTGTGCTCAGAACGTTCTGATAAAATCTTCATGAAGCAACCTCTCCATTTCCAGCCTCTGATTTCACACATGAACTCAACCCGAATTCGAACGAACACGCAAAGGATGGCGAAGGATCCCTCACCACCCCCTCCTTCCAACAGTAATGACTTAAAAAGTAGCACATTTATTTTAATGTGCCTTATTTTCAGCACAAGCAGTTCCCCATTTTGGAGTGAGCTCATAAAACACCTCCGACACAGTGATAATTTTACTAATGACTTCCTTCCCGTTTCCTGTTGTTTTTAGACATTTATCAACATTGCACAAGTCGAAATTTAGGCCCTTTGCCGGGAAAACAGAGGAAAGGTCACGTTTTGCATTTCAGAACAGTCATGTAAAGCTGGATGTTATAATTGGAATTTTTGCAAAAACATTTCTGTTGTTTGGTGAAACTGTTGTCCCGGACTAAGTTTCCAGAGTGCAGATCCCTAAATTACTGTACTGACAATTTCTCAGTGGAGGGACAGTGGAGTCACTTGGATCATCTAATTTTGAGTACAACACATTGAATCGCTAAGAAATGTTTTAATTGAATCATTCTTTATTTTTTTTAACTGAATTACTAAAGTACAATTTCCCTCCCATATATTTAAATACTGTGTTAATATTCAAACTGTGGATAATGTTACCATCGTTACCATAATATAAAATATAATTTGTAGAAATGAATAAATGTTTTTAATATATACTCTGGCTTATTAGACTACTGTATTTTAATGTGACTCAATGTTGGTGGTACTTGGACAGTAAAGTATTTTTTTGAGGTGGAACTTGGTGTGTAACTTTTGAGAACCACAGACTGAGAGAGTTGTTTTGATGGCTAAAAGGAACCAAGTGTGAAAACAACCTGTACTCAGTCCTATTCGAGGTATGAGAAAATTTTTTAGGAGAATTCAGTTAGCTTTTCTGATGACAACTGAAAATATTTTATCAGCACACCTCGCTTTTACTTTCATTTATTCATGATGATTATTTTTATGGAATGATTTTATTTGTCTTTTCGTTTTATGTAGCTGTGATTGTGAAATATTTTTGAATTCACTCGTGTATGAATTGTGCTCTACAAAAATTCTGCCTTGCTTTGCCTTCTAATACACTAAAACAACAAGCACATTTTTGTATGAATGTTAAAACATGCCCATCCATCTTATTCTGCTAAACTGGTGTCAGGTTGCAGGGGCGGCAGTTTAAACAGAGAACCGCAGACTTCCCTCTCCCAGCCACTTCGTCCAACTCTTCCTGGGGGACCCCGAGGGGTTTCCAGGCCAAATAGGAAACATAGAACTCGATTTGTGAATGTCGCAAGTCCACCGCGCCAAACTGCATATATCTACGCAGGGGGAGGTTAGATCAGGTGTTGGCAATTTTGCATACATTTGCAAGCCAATGCATTTAAGGGCACTGTGCGCCATTGAGGGCGTGAACACGTTGGATTCCATTCAATGGCAAGCAAAGAGTCTCCTCTCACTTCCAGCTGCAATGACAGTCTTTCATGGAGACATCTCTGTACGGAAAAGGAAGCGGCGATTCATGGTTGGCCGCAGCGTTGTCACTGCCCTTTGCCTGTGTGGCAACAGACCGTGTGAGCAAGTCCCCTCGTTAAATACAGAATGAGGGTCTGCCAGACATTACCAGTAGAGCCTACAGTCATGACGGATGAAAGGAAACCGAAAGGTGTTTGTATGTACTGTCATTTGGTGGAGTCGTATTCTTTATCTACCGCTGAAATAAATAGTCTCATGATATGTACGGTATTATATATATTACAGCGTACCACATTCCTATGTTCAAAAAGTTCTACTTCTGGTTGTAAAATTTGCCACACTTGTCCTTATTGGCATTATGATTACCCTTCCGTGGTGCCAAAATCAGGGGAAAGAAAGCCAAAGAAGACCCAAAGCACAATTTTTTTTTTTAAATGCTCCTATAGCTGACGTCACACCGAAAGCACAATTTTTTTTTTTTAAATGCTCCTATAGCTGACGTCACACAAGATTTGCTGATGTCTCACTTTAGATAATGAATGATGATGGCTAAGCTTTTGAAACATATTCTTGTGAAGCATCATGAATAAACTCTAATTTATGCTACTTTTGGAGCATTCAAGCTCCAAATAAAAACCACACAAAAGCAGTCGAGGCGAGCGGTTTGAGGTTCCATTGTGTTAAACTGCTCATTAATACTTGAGTTGTTTACATAAAAGGAAGCCACTTGTCGAATAAATCCCCCCTGAGTTTAGCTTCAGGTCACAACTTGATTGTGAATCTTTTAGCTTCCCCATCACATTTTCTGTTTGGTAATCTTCTATCAAAATATGCTCACAGTGCTCTTACACCTGTGTGTACGCGTACAAGTCTGAATACGCCTCTCCGCTGCATGACTTCAACACCCCAGCGAGTCGCATTCCAGCATGGGCAAACCGTGCGTTTGAGCCCGCGTGGGTCAAATGGGATGAAGGAGGAGAAGAAGAAGAAGAAGAAGGAGACATGAAATAGAAAAAACAAGAAGAGGACGACGAGGCTGAATGAAACGGGAGACAAAAGTGACCTGTCTTATGAGGCCGTCATGAGGCCTCAGCTTTGCTGCCTGTTCCTTCTGTTGGTCGACTGTCAAGAGCGGATCACAGGTAGAGTGTCGAAGGAATGTGCAGATAAGTGTATGTGTGTGTGTGTGTGTGTGTGTGTGTGTGGAGTAGTGCTCTTTTCGCACATTGTTTATGACTTTATAAAGTAGCTTGATGTGTGCACATGTGCGCGGGTGTGTCTTGTTGTCAACTGCCATGGATCGGCCTTCTCTCCGTCCTTTTGGCTTGTGCGAACCTATCCTCTCGGGAACGTCACCGCCCGCAATACAAAAGCAGCTGGTTGACATTGATCTTTCTTAGCACGGGGATCATGTGGCCAAGCGTTTTCTAGAAGCAGACTCGGTGAGAATCTGGACAAGAGGCCACAGTTCCCCCCCCCTCATGCTGCCTTTCACTTTCATCGTCCAAACGCCTCAGAGTAACCGCCGTCGATAGCACCACACATGTCATTAAAGTAGAGGAAGTAAAAGTACTATCTGTGTGGAGAAGAGGTCATTATGACCTGTACTGCCTTCCCACCATCTGCACTTCTGCCTTCTCACCATCTGCACTTCTGCCTTCCCACCATCTGCATTTCTGTACCTTCTGCCCTCGCCCTTTGCCCCGACCTACACCCTACCACCTATTAAAGCCTTACCTCAAGATCCCTGCCTCCTGTATTCTAACCGATACACCATCCTGTACCCTATATAACCCCAAACTGATCCAGCCCGATTATCCTCCCCTCCACTGCCATTTATTCACTCTTTAGTCATCATTTTTTGTGTAACGTGTGTATTTCAGTAAAGCAGAAGCAAACGTGGGAGGGGAAATGACCACTTGCCTTTGGGTCTTATTCTAATTTTGTATCCTGATTGCCATTGTACAGTAGGATGCTTTTGCTTGCATTTTTGTAAGTCAGTGGTTACAAACAAAAACATGCAGCAGGAGGTCAGTTTGGATTCATTGATTTCATAATAGGAATGGAAAAACAAATACATTGTCATATTCAATCATTATTGGCGGATTACAGATAAGGTAAGATACAGGCAAATATAAGCACGGTGTATATACAAACAAACTTACAAAGAGAAAACAAAATCAAATACCAATTGAAATGATTATTTAAACTAAGGCTAAATAGAGTGAGCGTGACATCAACAGACATGATCACATATGAAGTGAACAATGTTCATTTGAATAGACATTTCATTGACCTTTTTAGGTGTCAGTTAATCGAACTGAAATGTATCATACTGAGACTATTGAATGTAGGGGAGTTCATTTGATTTATAGTTCATATTTTTTTCCAGCAATTTCAACAGTGTGTCGATAAAATATTCGTTTAAACATAAACTGTTTTTAAAAATTTGTTTGAAAGTATCCTCTTCCTGTCAGCCATTTTTGCAAATGACATCATAGAATTTTTGAAGGAGGAACGTAACACACACACAAAAAAAACAAAACAAAAACATAATACATGTTTGTTTTTGTCTTTTTCTCTCAGGCGACTTTAGCGTCATCAGCCCGTATATAAAACACTATGAGGGGCTGTCATACGACAGGCAGGACCTCCACAGGAAGCACCTTCGAGCCCGCAGAGATGCAGAAACTCAGCGACACGTGCTAGACCTGGACTTCACTGCTTTTCACAGGTTTGGACAAGAGAAAAGGCTGTGCAGATGGTCTCCATTTATACATCCCGATTGCAACAAATTAGACTCCAATATTGGACTCTATGTTCTCCAACCATTTGTACTTTTTCCAGAACTCAAACATGTTTTGTTACTGTGTGCTTCCCAAACTGTAAAAGTCAAGTGTCAAGGGTACAGTAACCCAGAGTTCAAACTGTTGTCATGACCTCAGCCTACAGTATCCTGTGAAACTTCAGCTCAACGTTTTTTTTTTTAAATGCCAGTACTAATAACGGCAACAAGTATAAATGTGATGATTACCCAACCAACTAGAAATTGTCAGGCAGATGTAAATGTCACTGTCCTGGCTGCTCGGAACAATATGGCAAAGTCACCGGTAATAATAACAATAGAAGAAAATAATTCACTCTAACGTGAGTTGAAGTTGAGGCTAAAGTCTGTTCGGTTGTTTTCACATTATACTTTACTCATTTTTTTGTACCTATCGATGAGGGTGAACAATATCAACATGATCCAACAAATGAAATTTTGACACACTGTACGTTAGTGCCGATACTTCTCACTGGAGAGCGCAGATAACAAAATTTTACTTCACACATCGCCTGTACAGTTGCTAAAGGTTTTATGATATAATTTTGAACCTAGAATGTTTTATTTCTATTGCTAATATTTCCACTGGGAGGAACTGTAAATTCAAATGGATTTTGTTTTGCCTTCAGAGGTTGCACTACGCTTTTCCAGATTGCGTATTTGCTTCTCCTGTTTCCTTTTAGAACTTTCCGACTACGCCTGAGACGAGATGCCGGGACGTTCTCCGGTGATTTCAAGGTCGTCAGTGAGGATGGAGCCACAGCCGCGGACCTCTCACACTTATATTCAGGGACATTGGAGGGTAGGTTTGTGTGTGCCTGTGTGAAGTGTTCCTGCGTAACTAATGAAATTGGAGCTCACTGACCTCGTTGTCTCTTTTGTTGCTCTTACAGGTGAACACGACTCTGCCTGTCACGGGTCCGTATTAGAGGGTCAGTTTGAAGGAAGCATCCGCGCAGGCAACGTCACTTATCACATAGAAGCCGCTCACAGATACAACGTCACTGACCACCACTCCATCATCTATCGGGAGGATGACATGGGTGAGAAAATGCCACACGGTATATCATAGCTTCCGGTTATACACAGAGTTGTTTTTGAAGAGGATAAAGAATACATGCGTTGTGGAGTATTGTTCGATTGTCTGCCAACGTGTCTAATAGCATCGTGACACGGAGATTATTTGTTAGCCAGTTGATGGCGCTTTGCATTGTTTGTTAGCATTCAGCTAAATACACTTACCTAAGGCAAAGCTATTTGGTCGTTTTAAATTCAAAATTTGGTTGAAGCCTTTTTTTTGAAGATTTGTTCAGTCTATCTGCCAAACTGCTGCTTTTTGTGTGTGAAGTGGATTGAATTGAGTTCACTGCCACCGTACAGTGCTTGTATCTCAAATTTTGACTGACAAACCAAAGCAAAAAATGGTGCTCGCATATCAAAAAAGTCACGTCGTGTCATTCCCATCTCAAGGCACCGCAATCTTTGCACAAAGTTACGCGATGAGGAAATTGGGGTAAAATAGCAGCAGTTGAATGACAGCTGTAAGTAAGAAATTATTCATAGAGTTAGGCTATTGAGCATTTTTCCCTGAACTGCGCCACCTGTAACTTAACTGCTGCTAAGCTCTAAAATTCCATGCTACAGTAGATCCCCTTCACAATTCGATTCACATGCATCTTGGCGTCAAATCTCAACTCCAGAATGCTCTGTGGGCTGGTTAACCCGAGCTCGTGAAATCAGACTAATCTCATGGCAGGAGAGCGAGAGGGAGTAGGGAACCCTGTAAAAGTGGCCAAAGAAAAAGCGAGATGAATATGGCGTGATACTGAAGTGGGGGAGGGAGGGGCTAGACTGAAAGCACAACAAAACAATATGGGAAATGAGTATTTGGAGGTTTTCATACAATGGCCACATGCCTGCCATGATCAAGTACAAATGTGCAACTTGGTGTGTTTTTTTCTCAGCGTGACATTTTTTTCCAAGAATGTGTGCCCAAATTCCCAAAATCTTTGAATGGGAGCACACATGGCCTTCCTTTGTCTCCGCTCAAACAAAATCCTTGACAGCGTCACAAAACAACATCCTGCGCTTTCATCCACAGGCCAAGTTATCTCACAGGAAAATGTAAAACAATCCCGCTCGAGATGTTTCGATGCAACAATCGACAATCCCGTTCCGGGTTCATATTTGGACTGAAGACCTTGTGGATAAACCACTAGCACGTCGACCTCACAGTGCAGAGGTACTGGGTTCAATTGCAGCTCCGGCCTCCCTGTGTGGAGTTTGCATGTTCTCCC